AACAAAAAAAAAAAAAAAAAAAAAAAGCTGGATGTGGTGCTGCACACCTGTAATCCCAGGAACTCTGGGAGGCTGAGGCAGGAGGATTGCCAATTCAAGCCTAGGCCAGGCAGTTTAGCAATTGAGCAAGACCTGTCTCAAAATTTTAAAATAAGGGCTGGGGATTTAGCTCAGTGTTTCCGCCGTCTGCCTTGCAAGCACAGGGACCTAAGTTCGATCCCCAGTACAAAAAAAAATTTTTTCTATAAAATAAAAGGGCTGGCATGGAGTTCCGAGAGAAGGCCCTGGTTCCATCCTATTGTAACACACACACGCACACACACACACACATGCACACACACCAATCTAAAGAGACCAAGCCTGAGACATGAGAGAGGCTTGGAGGTTCCTGGCGTGTTCCGGGTGCAGGGAGAGGGCAGGGTGAAGGGAATGCAGGAGAAAAGCAGGGGCGCTACCTCCACTTGCTGGGAGAATCGTTATCCCTGTTATTGGGGTGCTGGGGACGAACCCAGGCCTTGGCAGTGCGGGGCTGCACCCCGCTGCGGGGCTCTTCTGCCCCAGACACTAAGGGACTGGCCGGCAGAAGCCTCCCGCACTGGAGTAACTGCGCATTGGTCTGTACAGTGGAGCCCTCTTTATGTACTAAGACGACTTCAGTGATACGGAAGACCTGAGGTTACACAGCAGCACCGCGGGGTCTTCAGGGCAAAGCCCTCTTCTACTCTCTAAGACAGTCGGGTCCCTGGGACTGCAGAACAGGGGAAACAAAGACTGCAGTGCTCTCTGCCCCACCCCCAAATGAACAATTCATGGCCACCCCCAGCGCAGGGAAGAGTCTTTCCTTTATTTAATTATTTTTTTAGATAGGTCTCATCTTTTTTTTTTTTGGTTTTTTGAGACAGGGTCCCACTACGTAGTTGTTGAGACTCAACTGGAACTCACTATGTAGCCCAGGCTGGTCTCGAACCCACAGCCATTCTCCTGCCTCAGCCTCCTGAGTGCTGGGATTACAGGTGTGCGCCTCTACACCCGGCAGGGTCTCGTCTTGTAGCTCAGGCTGGCCACAAGCTCAAGGGGACCTTTCTGCCTCAGCCTCCCCAGGGCAGACAGTACAGTATGCCTGGCTCCCCAGGCTTCAGAATTTTTTTTTTATTCCTGGCTGAGCCGAGGACCCGATGCAGGGGACTTAGTCACATCCAGCGCACTTCCCACAGCAGCCCCTGTTGCAACAGCGAACCCAGCTTCCCCTGAGAAATGAAAGTGCTGGGGCCTAGGGCCAGCACCTACTGAATCCGGACCTGAATCTGTCTTTCAGGAGTTTCTGGTTTTTAGCTGGCATAGTGGTTCCCTCCTGTAATCCCAGCTACGGAGGGGGCCGAGGCAGGAGGGTGTCTAATTTGAGGCCAATCTGGCCTACCTGGTGAGACCCAGTCTCAAAAACTAGAAGGAGGGGCCAGGGATTTAGCACAGTATTGTCACCTGCTTCCAAGCTGAAGGTCCAAAATTCGATTCTCAGGACCACAAAATAAATACAATAAAAGGAAAAGAAAATATAAAATAAAACAAAACAAGCTGTGGGTGTTTGTGAGGTCCTGGGTTCAATTTTCAGTACCAAGTAAACATTGTTCCTTAAAATCTAGAAGTATTGTTCATCAATATATTCTTGTCAGTCGGGTTATTAAGCTAATGAATCAGCTCTGTGAGGTAAAGCACCGAGGTTCACAAAACTGAACTGCAAGGTCTGTCAAGCACAGAAGAAATAACTGGGCTTCCTGAGTTGTTTGTTTGTTTGTTTTTTGGTTTTTTGAGACAGGGTCCCACTATGTAGTTGAGACTGACCTGGAACTCGCTATGTAGCCCAGGCTGGTCTCGAACTCACAGCGATCCTCCTGCCTCAGCCTCCTGAGTGTTGGGATTACAGGGATGCCCTACCACGCCTGGCTGGGCTTCCTGAGTTGAGATTGAAAGGATCACTGTTCTCCCTGCACCATGTTCTTGCAAGCAGCGGGTTCTGGGGCAAAGGGACACCTGAAAGTCAAAAACCTTTGTGGCAGCAAAACAAAAGCAGCCCCCGCTCCAAGCAAGGCCTGGGTTCTGCCCTGTTTGCACCTTGTGGGTGGGGGGCAGTGACCCAAATAAAAGGATTTCTCTTCTTCTTCCTCCTCTTCCTTCTCCTTCTGGCTGCTGGTCGCCCCAGGGGTGGGCGGGATACCAAGAAAGGTTTAAGGGAGTTTAGCAAACAAAACTCTGCTGGGGTTTTTTGCGGGGAGGCTGGTTGATGCAGGGTCTCCTCTCCTAGGGCTGCAGTCCACCTGCCTCAGCCTCCCAGTTCTAGGATCACTGGTACCAGCAGAGTAGTTCTTGGGGGAAAGGGGAAGATAGGGATGATGTATGGTGTTAAGCAGAGTAGGGGAAAACCCAGCCCCTCAGACTACTTTTATCTTGACCTTAGCTGTTGCTCTAATTAGATGATATAAGATAGAGAGTTGAACCTAATAACTTGAATCTAAATTTTACACTTAGAATAGAAATAAATCTTACACTTAAGGCTGGGACTGTAGCTCAGTGGTAGACAGGGCCGGGGTTCAATCCCCAGTTCAACAAAAATGTAAAATACAAGCCGGGCTGGGCGTGGCAGTGCACACCTATGATCCCCACACTGGAAGGCTGAGGCAGGAGGATTGCCATGAGTTTGAGACCGATATAAACTACACAGTGAGACTCTGTCTCAAAATAAATACATACATGTTTACTCTAAGTACGCAGAGGCTGGGATGTATCTCAGTGGCAGAGCCTATAATGCACAGGGTCATGGGTTTGACCTTCAGCACCAAACAAAAGAAATTGCAGTTACCCTCAGAATTCTGTTTCGGGACTTCAGGGACCCTCCTTGTGTAAAGGGGTCAAGCAGGGGGCTATCTGATCTTGTGACAGAGTTTAGAGCCAGCACCAAAGGGTGGATCTCAACAGTCAGAGGTCCCCCTGTGGGAGGGGACTGGGCAATGTGGCCACATCCTGCCCCTGAAAACAACGAAATATATAGACTATTTCGGGCACTGAGCCTAGGAACTTTGCTCTGAGCATGCCCTCCATCCTTTATTACTGTTTTTAAAATCTTTGAGACAGGGTCAAACTAAATTGCTAAATTTCTCAGGCTGGGCTCAAACTTGGAGTCCCCCTGCCTCAGCCTCCCAAGGGCTGAGATTTTAGGCAAGCACCAGCAAGCCTGGCTTCTATTTATTTTTTATTATTTTGGCTGGACAGAGGATTTAACCCAAGGCTTATGAAATTCAAGTTTAAGAAAGCATTTTTGATAGTTTGAGAAAGGATCAAAAGAAAAAAGAAAAGCTGGGTGTGGTAGTGCATTCCTGTAATCCCAGCACTGGGAAGGCTGAGGCAGGATGATTTCTGTGAGTTTGAGATCAGCCTGGGTTACACAGTGAGTTCCAGGTCAGTCTCAACTACATAGTGAGACCCTGTCTCAAACAAACAAACAAACAAACAAACAAACAAACAAACAAAAAAGATTAAAAAAGAAAAATGAAAAATGAGGACATATGCTAAAAGATTTTTCTTCTTTTCTTTTTTCAGTACCGGGGATTGAACTCAGAAACTTGTTTTTTCTTTTCCTTTCTTTTCTTTTTTTTGTACTGTGGATCGAACTTGGGCCCTTGTG